GTTTTTCCCACAACCCCTATCATGCAGAAAAAAGTGTCTTTTACTGGCTCTTCCACGTCCCCCTGGCCTGGGCGCCTTCCGGGGCCCAGGCTCAAGGATCGGGTTCTGAAGATACAAAGTGGCATAGGTCCGCATACGCGAATTAGGAACCTGCATTTCTGACAACTGTGCTAGTCCTTCGTTCAGGTATATTCGGGCGGTTTTTGCTGCTGCCCACCTGCCTTGGAGCAGCAATTTATCGAAACTTCCGTGGTGTTGGAAAAAAAACGTGGCGCCTCCGCGCCGTAAAGAATACGGACGCAGGCCAAGCTCAGTGAGCTGAAGTCCGGCGATTGCTTGGTTAAAAGTTTTTCGCCAAGCATGGGCCTTGGGTGTCAAATACGAGTTCGCTGAACTCCGCTTTTTCCAACTGTACAAAGAGGGAAGAACGGATGTGTCCACAATAGTGACGCTCTCACTAGCCCCTTGACGAGCTCCAGACTTAGTTAGTCCTAATGAGATGATGGCTGGCCCCTTAGGTCCGGTGATATAGACATCTTTGGAGGTCAAGCTTAAAAGTTCACCGGTTCTCAACAGTCCGAAGAATGCAACCCTCAGAGACAGCGCAAACTCAGGAAGTCCTTGCATGATAGCCCAACCGCAGAGGGCATCTAGCAATCCCATCGTCAGCGGCGGAGCCCGGTTGGGCATTTCGGCTGTCGACCATGCCTTTAAAAGGCGCCAGCTTCCTGGGAGCTTCCGGCGCAAATTCGGGTCAAAGTCCTGGAGTGCTGCAAGTGCATTGTTTGCTTCAGACTTACCATGGCCATCGGCCCACAGGTACTCGAGGTAGTCACTGACCAAGTTGTCCATTTGTGCCACTCGCTTTGGGAGAGCGAGTCCCTCCCTTTCTAACCAGGAGAAGAACTGCTGTAAGCTGGCTTCGTACCTCTGCCAAGTGCGTGGTTGCACGGTCAAATCTTTCAACTTGCCAAGTTTTTGCCTTACCGCTTTTCGCTGCTGCTGGCTGCGACCTTCAACTACTTTCGGAGCCTTCTTACCCATTTTCGGTGTAGCGGCCGGCGGGACGGCTTGTCCGCCGGATTCTGGTGTGTGTCTATATACCCCCAGGTACCTTGGAGGCCACTAGCCAACAGCATTGCGGATATCTTGGCAAGACTTCTACGGAGCTTCCGTGAACTGGAGCGTCCGCGTGACAGCGCATGTAGTACAACCAATGAGTCGACAAGGTGTAAGCAACGAGTCCGCTCCTCCTTCAGCTCCCGGATGCGCCAGGCTAGTGAAGTCTTCACCGCCCGGAGCTCAAGGACGTTGATGTGTTCAACATCTCCTGTCCAACGCCAACCTGCAACCTCCTGCCAACGCCAAAGCTTTCCCGGGATGGAAGCACGCAGTCGGTGGTAGCGCGCTGGAATATCGGTTCCCATCTGAAGCAACAAGTCCTCTCCTTTGACAGATACCTGCCCCAACAACTTGCGCACTAGTCCATGTTCGGGAGCTCCTGGTTGAGTGGTTCGACGAAGAGGCGGTCGCAACAGGAGACTTGGGAGGTGATCTTCCTCCCCTGGAATTAACCGCCGCATCAGCTCCTGCACGCTTAACGGCTCTGTGAGCCCCAACATGGAAAAGAGAGAGTGGAGCAGATAGCACACAACAGGCACGGACCAGGTGTTTCCAAGAAGAGTGAGCCTACAGTCAGTCCACGCGGGCGTGTTTTGCTGTCCCTTGGGGTAGCACTTTGCTGTGTAATCCAAAGGAAACCCGAGGATACACTCTCGCTCTCGAACATTGGGCACACGCACCTGAGCACCGTTGGTGACACAGTTGACTGCCTTATATTGGTAAGGTGGGAAGCGATGTTGATCCTCCTTCCAACGCCTCACGTCCTCAGCAGTGCACAAGTCCAAGCCCGCTGGCTTACGGCCAGGCATCGGAGACGGGCGAGAGGTGGTAAACGTGGGCAAGACCTGCGTGGGCGAGACTCTGTGCCAGCCTGGTTCAAGGAAGTCCTTCTCCTCAACGTCTGCGATCAACTCAAGCCTTCCTGCCAAGGGCAAACGATGGGGTTCATCCACGACCTTACAGGCTCCTTCACCTTCCAAGGGTTCCCAGTTGATCCAGTACAGTCGGGGCCTGCGGGCCAAACTGATTCCACTAGCGTCGACTAGCCATGGGCGCCCCCCATACGCCTCATTCATGACCTGGCAATCCTTGGCATCCATCGACGCGACGTTCTCCGCAAGACGAAAGACCGGACACCACCGAAAGAACCGACGCAACAACTGCTCCACCCGCGGAACGTGGGAAAACAGGCAAGACCTGGCATCTCGAAGAGCGCCCTTGCGATCACTGTTTAACCCTGAGACTCCTTGACACGGTGGCCCCGCGCCCAAGAGGACCGCACTCACGCCAGGATAGAGAAGACTCCAGCTACTAACCTCGTTTTCGTCAATGTCTCTGACATCCGTGATGTGCTTGACCTCGGGGAACCAGCTTTCAACCACCCTTCGAGCGTCCTCGGAGATCTCGGCCGAGACATACCCTGCTACCGGAATGCGGAGCGCATCCACTGCCACACGCAATGCCCCAATGCCATCAAACAAGGACACAACCAAAATAGGCTCGACATCATCTTGGGAGAGTATGTCTCCCCTCGTCCTGGCCTGAGCTGCTGCCAAACCATAGGGAGATAAAGCCTTGCTCACACACAATCCGCCCCCAGTGGTGGAAGCGTCACTGGCTGTGACTTTCTCAGAAATTCCTGTGCGAAAATCCATGTAGGCAAGCGGAGTCAGGGCAATGAACCTTATGAGCTCAAGTTCCACGGATTCCCCAAGTGCGGCTCTCTTCCGAGGAGCATCTCCCAACTCAATGATTCGTCTCCACAGGGCATTTAGCCCAGCCAGAGGGGTCGACGGAACATAGCAATGTAGACAAAGCCACCTCCAACAATCTGCAACTCCTTCTGCGTGGCACGACCTCGAATCAACAGTTCACACGCCAGCCTCACATATTTGACCACTTTGGAGCTCTTGGGAGCGCCTCCCCATCAAGCCTGGCGCCCTGAACCTCCGCCTTGACTTCCTGGGTGACGGCCTTCTTCGGATGCCTAGGCAGCCCCAAGTCCTCATAGGTTTGCCTCACTGCGAGCGTCCATGCTGATGGGGTTCCGGCCAACGTTTCAGCGAGCTTGCGGTCGACCTTACGCAACTCATCATAGTTGTCCAGATAGACCCTATACAAGTGATCTGCTGACGAAGATCCTCGATCCCGACGGAGTTCCTGATGCCCTGAGGCCAGTGCTCTCTCACCCCTAAGGGCCAGTCCGATCACCCTCCGGTGTACGTGTTGAGCAATAGCTACAGAGTTTATGAGCCCCATAGGCAACACCTGTGTGACCAGGTGCCAGCCGGTTCCCGTACAGGACGCTGGGAGGGCCTCCGGAGGAACCTCCCTTGCGAACCCCATGTACTTCCACCAGGAAGCTGGGGTACGGAACAAATAGAAGAAACAGCGAATATCCTCTGAAGAAGTAATTAGAAGCTGATTGTCATCCAAGATGATCGACGACATGCCCACAACACTAGGTAGAGTCGACGTGTCACCAACCAAGCTCCTACAACAACCATTTGTGGGGACCAGGTTCACGATAAGGCGGCATACCTCAAAACGTTGACCATCTGCCCCCACCGCTGTTTCCTGTTTGCTAACAGCGAACAATCCGTTCAGTAAAGGACGATCACCCACACGGTGTAGTTCGGAGACATGCATCACCCTGCAAACACCCCGACGCAACAACCCCGAGCAGACCTCGGCCCAGTGGCTCTGCTCCACCATGATCGAAGGGGTGCGTCCCATCTGCTGGTCCTGAGGCGGCAAAAGAAAGCTTTCGAACTCCCTGACATAGTTGAGGGTCCCCCCGTCACAAAAGGTCTCCAACTCTAAAGACCCCACAGCCTCTGGCATGGCTGCCTCTACCATCTTCCACTGAAACGAACGGGCCACCTGAACCTCCTCACCTGTATAGTCCACGGTCTTGGACTGGAATAGTTTGTGGAAGTCCAGCTGGGGCAAGGGTTCCTCCAAAAGATCCGAATTCAAAACCACCTGATTTACCCTCTCTGACAATGATCTTCGAATACCTTCTTCTCTTGCACGTGTCTTACTTTTGGTTCCATACAACAAATTCAATGCACGAATCATCGCATCCGAGTTTGGGATTCTTCGACCGTGTAGCCCCAAGTCACTAGCAAGCGGCCAGGGAAACAAGTCCCTCTTGGTCTGGCTGCAACGCTCTAATCTAGTTTCAACCACTGCCAATGCCCCAGACAACACTGTACCCAACTCAGCAAAGCTAATGTCCTTTTTTCGACAACACGCTTCAAGTGCTATGCGGCACGGCTCAAAGGCCAGTCGCCAACTTGTCTCCGTGCTGTGCGAGGTGTCATAGGCGATCTCGCAACGGCCTGCGTCAAACTGAAGCCGCTTGTCATCACCATCCTCAAATTGGGAGGCACCACACGTGTCCATCTCCCTTCCTTCATGCATGCCACCCTGCAGCTTCAAGGGCTTCCAATGCGCTTCAACTCGACCAATGCACTGGGAGCTCAACTGCGGTGACTTGGAAAAAACCAACTCCCGTCCACTCAAGTCCAGCTCGGCCATCTCGGCCTGTCCGCCTGACCCGGATGTCCGGGATGCACCCTGGTCTAAGGCAGAACGCGACGTGCGCTCTACCTTCTCCCTCACACACTGCCTTTTCGCCCAGTCTCTCCTCTGTCTCAACCCTCTTGCCTCACTTTCCTGTAGCAACGCATCAATGCACCCACTCTCAACCTCTGTCAATGAATCCTCACCCAACTTTGCACCTGCATCCTCTCTCTCTCTCAACCTCTCTTCTATCTGATCCTGTTTCCACCTGGGGGTGTTATCTTCTTTGGCAAGCGCTGTCATGGCTTCTCTTTCTTCTTCCCCTTGCCTTTCCCTTTGCCTCCTTTGTCTCCCTTCTCACGCCCCTCAGGTGGATCAGATCTTCCTTTGGCTTTTCCCCCCTCTTTGCCGATTGCATTGTAGGGCCGCTGCACCGCTGTTCTATTTCGCGCCTCCTCACGCGCCAAGCGAGCTGCTTCTGCTCCCTCCGCACCTTGTGACAGGCCCACAGAGTCCGCTGACACCAGTTCTAACTGGCGTGCTACGCTCCAATGAGCGCCGCGGGCCTGTTGTTCTAGGGCCTTGAACCTCTGCGATAACAGGTCTATGGCCTTAGCCGGATGTCCTCGCAGCAGTAGATCAGCCGTCTGACTGATCGTAAGAAGCTCTTGCCCCATTGAAGGCGACACCAAGGCATGGAGCTCCGCCCTGTAGTACTGGGTGTAGAGCGGGGGCAGGGATCTTCGGTCCACCGAATGTAGCGTGCCTGCGCTCGTCAGGAGCAAATCCTTCATCCCCGCTATGGTTTGAGCACCCAGACACCCAGGGTACCGCTGCGTCAACCGCAAAGCCCGCTTTTTCTCAGCAAAAAGCCCTTCTCCTGTCTCATCAAGCTCTTCTTCCTCTGAGGTTTGGCTTCCGGTGGAGCTGGAGTAGCTCGACGAATGCTTTCTCTTCTTTCCTTCCTTCTTCCCTAGCTTCCGGGCCTTTCGGAGAAGTCTAGAGCGATCGTCGAAGCGGGGGTCCAGACAGGTTCCCCCAAAAAGGCTTTTCAAGCTTTTCTGCCCTCTCTCAGGCAGCATCTCATCACCACTGTCCGCCTTCTCTGACTTGTCCTTCGCCTGCTTCTTCTCCTTCTCCTTCAACTTCTTTTTCTTCTTCTTCGCCTTCTTTCCTTTCTCATCCTCTGCGCTGGGAGAAGGTTTCTCCCCTACCACTCCTCCTGCACGCGAGGTGTAATGCTCTCTCAACTTTGCCAACTCGTCACGCTCCTCCTCAACTGGGGTTGTCAACTCCAACATTGTATGCCAAGGTTGCCTGTTGTCTCCCACCTCCCAATAGCCTGAGGCATGTAGGATATCTGGGCCTGTAGGAGTACGCCGGCAATCCTTCGGGCATATGTGCAGCTGGAAAACACGTCGGCCTGGGTCGCTCACAACGTCAACGAAACGCTCAGTCTGAGTGCCTGCTACTTTGAACTCGAGGTAGTCCGCATCACGACCCAAGCCTGTGATGTAACCGGCCACCTTTACAAGCCCATCGTAGTAGTACCCATAAGCGAGCTCCACCAAACCCAGGCCGCGCAGTTGTGCCGCTGTAAGTTCAAGGAGGTAGGTGAACTTGTCGGTCTTTACTGCTTCACCAACGTCACCCGCTGGCTTCCTCCTCAAAGCGGGAGCGCGAGAGGCTGGCCGCCGGCGGACCGACATCACCACCACCTATTGTCGTACTTTTCTTGTTTGGCCCTACGGGTGATGCCCTTGTTCTTCCCCGTGTACCAACGGGGATGGGAGCTATACGGCACCGGGCCGATCCACCCTCGTCCACGTCCCCTGGCCAGCGGGGGGCGACTGGTGTCCCGGGCCGGGACTGGCGGCGGGTCTGGTGGTGGACCTGGCGGGGTGTGAGGGCTCTTGGGCCTCGGTGGTGTGGGTAGCCGCTTGAGGTCCTTCTTCTTCGCGGCTCTCACTCGGGAGCCCGAAACCGAGCTATCTCGGCTCGTTGACCTGCGACGCCTCTTCCGGTCCCTCTTTTCCTTCTCCCTGCGCCTCTTCTCCTTTTTCTTCCTCCGCCGGGAAGAAGAGCTTGTTGAAGACGGACTCTTGCTCTTCTTCTTCTTCTCTTTCCTCTCCTCCTTGGTCGTGGGAGTCTCTTTTGACTCCCCTTTGGAACTGTCAGCGGCGACTTCACTCGGCTACCTCACGGGGGGTGTCAACCAATGCCTTGGGCTCCGCTTTCTTCTTCGCGTAGAGCCCTTTGCTAGGGGATCGGCCTCTGGATGCACCTCGGGGTGGTTGGCTGGGTCGAGGAACGGCTCGGTTTTGGGAGGTCACACGGTCTCCTCCCCTATCGTGGGGGCTCGAATGGACGGGCGGTGCCTTTGGAGGGGGTGCTACTGGTCGGTGAGGCTTCTCCTGGGTCTGCTTGTCTCTGGGCTCTTCTCTTCTCTTTAACGGGCTTCTTCCTCTGGCGCTTGAAGCTTGTGGATGGGAATCGTCCTCCTTGGCCTCGAGTTCACGAAGTTTCCCTATCCACTCTTCCAGGAGGCTGTGACACTCCTGCAAGAACACAACCGCAGTTTCGTCTCTTTCTGCGGAGACTACGCTTCTAAGCGATACCTGCAGTTGCCAACCTCTCCTGCACGGCTCGCAGATGGAGAGTTCGGTACTTCGAACCACGAAGTGTTGGCAACGCTCGCACTTTGGGAGGGGGTCTTTGGGACCCCCTCCCATCCAAATCCTTTAAGAGCCCGATGCTACGGTGAAATAAGATGAGTTCTGTGCTTAATTATGAGGACATTAATCCATACACATAGTTTTAGTGTTCTTTTCAAAAAGGGTTAAGAGTGATGGGCTCCAACATAAGAGCGATGGACTCCGACCTAATAGCAATAAAGGAATATACATATATAATAATAAGAGTTACAATATCCAACAGGTGTGTGCGGAAGCCGCTGAATGTCTGCACGATTGCTCTCCCTTAGTGTCTGACCTGCTGAACATGGCTCTTCGCGGCGAAACTTGAAGTAGCCTCACACGAGCCAAAATCACCAAAGCAATTATGCTTGTAGTAGCTTCTTAGTAAGGCCAGGAGCCCCTAGTAGCGTCCTTGCTCCTAGTAGCGATGCCAGGAGCCCCTAGTAGCCTCTTGCTCCAAAGCAATTATGCTAGTAGCCTGTAGCTTCACTAAGTCGCAGGGCACATCAAACACACCATGCATTCAGGCAATCCTACGTCACAACTTGCAACAACTTTTGTAGGTATCTGACCCAGCAATGAAGTCATTTGATGCAATGTTCGCTGCCCAAAAACATCACTGGGGTGGGCACTTGAAGTGGCAACAATACACACAATCGGAAACATACACGCATGGTGCCGGGATTCTCTCTTTGCATCTATGAAAGCCCGTCATGCCACAGATGGCCTCCAACCTACTGGCGATGGCCTCCTACCTACTAGCGATGGCCTCCAACCCAGAAGCAATGGCCTCCAACCTAATAGCAATCAAAACTTAGATGATGACCTTCCTTTGACCTTTCTGACGATGGTGAAGGCTTGGAAGGCATGCAGCCATGAAGTGCGCAAACCCTTCTTTTTCAGTGTGTGTCCTTTCTTTGCTTTTGATATCCTTTTCCTTTAGACTTTTTCCATTCTGTCTTTTACCTGTTTGAACCCGTTGAGTTGAGTTCTAATTCCCTTTATCCTGGCCTCTGGCGAACTTGCAGGGGTCGGGAGGCAAGCAACGTCTTTGGTCTTCGTTGCCTGCCGAGGCACAGACTGGTAGCCCGAAGCGCTGAGGTCTTGGATTATGTTTCCATGCGAAGCTGAAAAGCAAACCCACTAGTAGCTTCTTGCTCTTAGTCCTAGTAGTAAGGCCAGGAGCTACTAGTAGCTTTTTGTTCCTAGTAGCGATGCCCTAAAATCAAACCAAGCCCAAGATCCTGTTCGCAAATCAAAGGTCTCAAGACCTCACTCAAACTCTAGGAACCAAGGGCCAAGCCAACCAGAGACTTGCCATCCCCACGCGCAGCCTCAAGGGTTGCTGAACTTGAAATGAACAAAATGTGCAGTAACATGCCGTAATCCAACATGGACAGGAAAGAGTAGACAAGGTTTGTGACAACCAGATCATGTCTGCTAACACCCATGCGCTTTGGAATTCCCCCGTCTGAGAATAATGTCAAAAGTGCACAAGAAAAACACAATAGCAAAGTGAACTCATGCAACAAGAAAACATTATCTATCGCTCAGGCGAGCAACAGGGCGTGGCAATAGTGAACCTGCTTGAAACAGAGCTAAGTGTGCAAACATATGCCATTTCATGTTTCCGAAGATATTATAGTAAACATCCTAAGGGGCGAGAGGAAGCCTGTGCCATGGTGTTCATCATCTTCCACCGGACAATGTGCAGCCTGAAAAATTGAGTTGGGAACACAACGAACAACAAACTCTTTCAGGATGTTCTTCAACTCTTTCACAAACAAATGTTCGTCAGACTCGCACAGCTTCAATCGTCGGTCCACATCCCGCTGCATAAAGACCGCCTTTAACACAAGATCCCAAACCAAAGACAAAGTTCAAGATTTTAGGATATTCGAGGTCATACCGTCATACCAAAAAACTCATTCATTCTCAGCAGCAAGGAAGCCTGCCGATAGCGAGTCCAAGCTGGTGCCACATTGCCGGCAAAGACCCTGCAAGTGTCACATCAAATAGCTGCTATAGTATAGGTGAGGCACCAAGACAAATCTGGGATGTCTGGCTTTCGCAAGGCACGGATGAGGGGCAACCTGTCAGTCTGTCAGTACAAACCTACCATTGTATCTTCATGTATCTTCACACTTCACTAAAATTTTCTGGACGATCAAACATGCCAGCAAATCTTGTTTCTCAGTCGCCGTCCATCACGAACCGACGCCCTGTGGGGCTTGGTGACTGCATAGACAAGGCATGACAAGGCCATTGTTCAACCAAAAACACACCATTTGGGTACTAGGCTGATGAAGTAGGTCTGCCTATTGGGAAAGTCAAAAACTACAGTGCCTGTGCCATCTCCTCAATGCCAATATCATCTGGCTTCGAAGGCAAAGCTCAGCCTTCTTGCGAGCATTATGAACATAGAAGAGCCAACATCTCCAGGGCTTTTGGACGGCTTTTGTAGCAAAATAGCGCATTGCAAGAGCACTGAGACGTCCAACAATAACGGAGTCATGCCACCACTCAGAAGGCGGACCAAAAGTGGACAAGGCGACACCCAACCCATCAGTTCGTTGGCTATCGTGAGCCAACCTCGCTCGATGAGACTTGGGAGGGTTGCGCACCACCTCAAACTGGTCGTCGCTTTCTCCACTCAACGAGAGCCCATCAAGTGAGGCCTTGGAGTCTGCCTGAGAAGGCATGGAATAGCGGCCCTGCCGGGTGCTGATCCTTTCTATCTCAGACCTTCTCTGATCTCTTTGCGCTCTGAATCCTTGGAGGTGATCCAGATCATCTTGAGAAGCATCTTCCCTAGCCTTCACAGTCCGGACAGGTTCGGACACACAAAGCCGCGGTGGATCTGGTGGAAAGGGTCGTGGTTGACCTGACCGCCCAGGGCCGCCAAGGGATGCACCAAGGGACGGGATTGAAAGTCCTGGCGCGACCAACCGACTCATTTATCACCGCCCATGATGTGTTTCTTTGCACATCAGCTAGGCTGACATGGAAGGTAATGGAAGATATTGGAACTGTTCCTTTGCTGATTGTCTTCATCTTTTGATCTTGGGAATGCTGGGTCTTGTGTCTATTCATGTGTAATGTGTCTATAATGCTGATTAATGTTGTATGTAACATGTACATACAGTATCCAAATAATTGAAAAGAATGTTCAACTCTATACGGACCAGTATTGCGCATGCTCCGACAAAACTTCCTGGAGCCCGGGATCAAGCAAGCATCTCCATCAAGCCAAATTTTAGAAAACCTCTATTCAATCTTCATTCGGGAGGCATGGCCATGCCATGGCCCAGACTTTGCCACATAATATATCCAAACAAATAGCTGTTGAAAGGATGAAAACCATCTGTGTAGAGCTGTCTTGTCGCCGCTTCATACTGCCTTAGCCTTTGCGTATACCCCCAACTTAGAAGCCTTTGTTACTAGTAGCTTCTTGCTTCTAGTAGTAATGGCCTCCAACCTACTAGCGATAGCCTCCAACCTGGAAGCTCCCCTCTTGCAAAGTCCATAACAGGGTTTGTCCCGCACTTTTGGCAAACATTCACTAACTGCCCTCGGCCGGTTCTGCTTGCTCTCCCTGTTCTCTGCTCCTTCTGCTCCTATTCTATTCTTGCTGCCTCCTGCCTTCATCTGCACAGTTCCGTTTTCAATATCAAGCTTGAAAAGCATTCTGAAATCATGTCAATCATTTTGAAAAGCTCGATGTCAGTGACGACTCGCATGCTTTGAGGCCTGCACGACCTGGGAGTGGACCCCCAACGTTCGTGGGGTGACCTTTTGATTCTTGTGTGGACCGCTAGTAGGTTGGAGGCCATTGCTATTAGGATGGCAGTTTGTGAGAGTGAGGACGGGACAAGGATGGCCAGGATCGGGACATGGAGATCAGACATAGCACGATTCATGCTCTGTCCATGACTACATTCAGGCGTGGCAGTGGCAGTGAAAGGATGTGAAAGGTGAATGTTTGATGGCGTTGAGCTTTCTAGTATATAACTAGAAGCCAGTAGGTGGAGGCCATTGCTATCAGGTTGGAGGCCATCGCTACTAGTAACAATAAAGCTTTCTAGATCTTTCTAGTATGTCTTCGAAGCTACTAGGTGTTGAGGCGTGAACGAGTCCGAAGGAGAAGGGTGCACAGGTTGCAGCGGTGGCACCGTTGCGTTCCTTTGTTTCTTAGTG